CAGCTTTCTAGCTTTTTTAAGGGACTTCAATTGTATTGTCTATTTTTTCATAGTGATTACTTCACATTATGCTTACATTAATAGTGCAGAAGTATTCTACTTTCCCCAAATCCTTGTTAACACTTGGGTTTCCCCAGCCCCTCTTTTTTTCTCTCTCTCTCTTTTTTTTTTTTTTTGGTCAGCCAGAGGCTTGAACTCTGGGCCTGAGTGCTGTCCCTCAGCTCTTCAGCTCAAGGCAAGCACTCTACCACTTGAGCCACAGTGCCACTTCAGGTTTTCTGGTGGTTTATTGGAGATAAGATTTTCACAGCCTTTCCTGCCTGGGCTGGATTTGAACTGTGATCCTCAGATCTCAGTCTCCTGAGTAGCTACGGTTACAGGCCTGAGCCACCAGCGCCTAGCTCTCATTTTTTAAGGCAGGGTTTTTTGTTTTTTGTTGTTTTTTTTTGTCAGTCGTGGGGCCTGAACTCTGGGCCTGGGTGCTGTCCCTCAGCTCTTCAGCTCAAGGTTAGCCTCTACCACTTGAGCCACAGCACTACTTCCAGCTTTTTCTGCTTATGTGGTGCTGAGGAATTGAACCCAGGGCCTCATGCATGCAAGGCAAGCATTCTACCACTGAGCCACCTTCCCAGCCCAAGGGTTTTGTCATATAGAGTTCAAACTCATAATCCTACTGCTTCAGCCTGCTGAGTACTGGAACTACAAGTGTACAACACCATGTCTGTTTTGTTGTTGTTGTTGTTGTTAATGATAACCATTTTGTGTGTAGATATAGTAATTTCATTTGCATTTCTTTGATGATTAATGACATTGAGTCTCTTGGTTATCCGTGTAGCTTCTTTGAAAAATACCTATTCAAGTCCTTTGCTTGTGTGAGTGTGTGTGTGTATGTGTGTATTGATGTTGAACTCAGGGCCTTGTGCCAGGTTTTTCACTTGAAATTGGCATTCTATTGCTTGATCCATGCTTCATTTCTGGATTTTGCTGGATAATTTGAGATAAGAGTCTCATGGAGCTGGGCATTAGTGGTTCATACCTGTAATCCTAGCTACTCAGGAGGCTGAGATCTGAGGATCAAGGTTCAAAGCCATCTCAGGCAGGAAAGTCCGTGAGACTCTGATCTCCAATAAATCACTAGAAAACCGGAAGTGGTGCTGTGGCTCAAGTGGTAGAGCGCTTGCCTTGAGCTGAAGAGATGAGGGACAGCACCCAGGCCCAGAGTTCTAGCTCCACGACCAATAAAAAAGAAAAAAGAAAAGAGAGAGTCTTATGGACTTTTCTGCCCAGATCAGATTCAAACTGCAATCCTCAGATTTTAGCCTGAATAATTAGAACTGCAGACCTGAGCTACTGGTGCCAGTTAAAGTATTGATTTGTAAAGTCACTCTTCTGTCAGTAAAACTAATAGTTAATATTTATACAACATTTAGAATTCTTCTTTTTTTTTTTTTTTTGTCGGTCATGGGGCTTGAACTCTGGGC